AAATGGCGGCCAATTATGATGTGTGGGCAGATACCGTATATAAAATTAATGAAATTCATAACTTTTCCAATTCACGCCTAGGGTGGTCTATAGTGTAAACGGGGCTTATATGTCATTGTAAATATCATAATGATAAAGCCATTCCTTTGATGTGGTTGGGTTAATATTTTGTATGTGTATTATTCCAACACCACATACTTTAAATTGATATCACCTGTGGGCCAATTCGGCCAAAGGCCCGAGGGTGATATCAATATAAAGTACCCTATTCATGGAAATTTTCGAGAGGATAAATTTTCGCGAATGATGAATTTGCAGGATTTTGCGAGGCCAAACTTTCGCAAATTATTTTGAAGTGCCACCATTTTGTAATAATGTGGAGAGGTGAAATTAATTTTTGCTTGTTTTAATTTTGCGAATGACTCCCGTTTCGCAAAATTCGCAAACATTTACCCCCTTCAAAATTTCCACATATAGGGTATTCGAGGAGCGAGATGTATTAACGTGTTACATAAGATATTTTATCATTCAATTATTATAATACACATAATTACTGCTCTTAAATAGTTAAAAATGGCCGAAATAATGAGAGATGCCATTCCACGCTTCAGTACCAATTCATTAAAAAAAGCACTTGATACTCTCAGATGTTGGGTAAATTTTTTGTATTTTAACATTTCATCATTATTCTTGTTAGTTTGAAAAAGCTTGTCAAGGAATACATAAGCACTATACATATTCATTTGATGGAGAGGCACTTGTTGATATCTTCTACAGAGTAAGTAAGGGAATACACTTAGGGCCGGGTTTGTTTTGATACTAAAATATGGAAATTATGCTACCTTATTCTAGCTACAAGAAGTTGGTATTTATACTGTTGAGCTACTACAAAATGTCAAGAATGTTGTAAATTTCTGTAAACTATTATCTTCTATTACTTCTAAAATTTGCTTTAATCGGTTTCTTAATCGTATCTTAGTAAGTCTCAACAATATACCGTATAATGCTTTATTTTGACAGTGCTTTATTTTGGCGATTTTGCTGTAAAATTGTAATTGGCGGTTTTTAATTTGGCGATTTTTGTGTACACGTGCATTACTGAGCATGCGCATTAATGATTGGCAGTTTTAATATTGGCAATTTTGTTTGCCAATCGCCAAAATAAAACTCTGCCAAATTAAAGCGTTATATGGTAATAGCTTCTAATTAAAACGATTGTTCTTATTATTCAGGGCCCCATTATTAGGAATGTTAAGGACTCGATCTCCAAATTAAATAAATCAATGCAAACAAACCTCCACAAATATTATGCTGCTAGTGTAATGTATGATGTTATCTTGATCATCATTGCTCTTTTGCTGTTCATCTGTCAATCCACTCTTGGATCTGCTACTGATATGGAGCAGTTGATGATATTTGTCACTGTTATTCACCTTATCATATCTGGAGATGTTGAGAGTAATCCTGGACCACAATATGATGCAAGAGGTAACGTTTTAAAATTTATTTAATGATATTGTGTTTCTCTAATAGATCTTTATAAAAAGGAGCCAGAGGTTGATGATTTCCAAAGAATATTTATTCAATGTGGTGCTGCATGTCACTGGCAAATCATTGGTAGAGCATTAGGCGTCAAAGTGGATGACCTGATCAATAGTCCACTCTCTGCAGCAGATAAGATTGGGGTTGTTCATAAAAAGTGGAGCGATAAACATCAAGACTTCACGTGGGAAAGGCTTATTGAAGCTTGTGAAGGTTATGATCAGTTTGGGAGAGTTCGTGATGCCATCGATAAGTTTTTATCATCTGATAAAGCACATAAAAAGTATCGAGATGAACCTGACTTTGAAAGTAAAAGGAGCAGGAGGAGCGAAAATGATTATTCAAACAAAAGAGATAATGGACCAGTGACAACCATCAATGTACATGTACATATACCCACCAGCGTACTGCTTTTCATTATTGTAATCTTGTGTGGCGTCATTATTTATCAATGGACTGATAACAGAAACTGTTG